CACCTTGGCCACCTCCTGGTCCTTCTGGTCACCTTCTGGTCACCTTGGTCACCTCCTGGACTTCTGGTCACTTTGGCCACCATCCTGGTCATCTCCTGGCCCTGGTGGCCACCTGGTGGTCACCTGGATCTTCTCCTGGTCCTGGTGGTCACCTCCTGGTCACCTTGGCCACCTCCTGGTCACCTTGGCCACCTCCTGGTCCTTCTGGTCACCTCCTGGTCACCTGGGTCACCTCCTGGTCACTTGGATCTTCTCCTGGTCCTGGTGGTCACCTTGGTCACCTTCTGGTCACTTTGGCCACCTCCTGGTCACTTTGGCCACCTCCTGGTCACTTGGATCTTCTCCTGGTCACTTGGATCTTCTCCTGGTCCTGGTGGTCACCTTGGTCACCTCCTGGTCACTTTGGCCACCTCCTGGTCACCTCCTGGACTTCTGGTCACCTCCTGGTCACCTTGGCCACCTCCTGGTCCTGGTGGTCACCTGGGTCACCTCCTGGTCCTTCTGGTCACCTCCTGGTCACCTGGGTCACCTCCTGGTCACTTGGATCTTCTCCTGGTCCTGGTGGTCACCTCCTGGTCACCTTGGCCACCTCCTGGTCCTTCTGGTCACCTTCTGGTCACTTTGGTAACCTCCTGGTCACTTGGATCTTCTCCTGGTCCTGGTGGTCACCTTGGCCACCTCCTGGTCACCTTGGCCACCTCCTGGTCCTTCTGGTCACCTCCTGGTCACTTGGATCTTCTCCTGGTCACCTGGACCACCTCCTGGTCACCTTGGCCACCTTGGCCACCTCCTGAACTTCTGGTCACCTCCTTGTCCTGGTGGTCACCTGGTGGCCACCTGGTGGTCACCTGGTGGTCACCTGGTGGTCACTCCTGTCCCTGTCCCCCACCCCCCCCCCCAGGGTGACGACGGTGGCCCTGGGCAAGCACCGGCTGTACGGGCGGGAGGCGGGGGAGGAGCGGCGCATGGTGGCCAAGCGGGTGGCCCACCCGGGCTACAACTCCTCCTCCAAGGACAACGACATCATGCTCCTCAAGCTGCTGACCCCGGCCGCCCTCTCGGACCGCGTCCGGCCCATCCCCGTGGCCTCCTGCCTGCCCAGGCCCGGCACGGCCTGCACCACCTCGGGATGGGGGGCCACCACCTCGCCGGAAGGTAAGGTGAGGGGG